CTCGAACAAACGATTAAAATCGGAAAATAAAGCGACCTGCTCAAAGAAGACTACTGAAATCGGATCGGTAACTCAGTCTTAGCCAGATCGAGCACTGAAACATGACATAACATTTCTGACTGTGTAATACTCCGACACCGAAATTGCTAAGCAGACCGAAACTTTTCAATATACACACTTCTCATCGTGCCACCCTTTAATCCGCAACAAGAGTTTCATAAAAGGAGATGGATTACCGCGGCTTTTAAGAGCTAGTCAGTTATAGAAAACTTTGAACACAGACTCTGTCTAAGAGGCTACCCTTTAACTCTCTTTCAATAAAATACTGACTGATAAAGTTAAGTTCGAGAACATAAAAGAGATTTTACCTTTTGTTACTACCTATAATCCGGCCACACCGAATCTCAAAAAGATTCTTATGAAACACCGGCACTCATCATTCAACAGCAACCTAAGCTTAAACAAATCTTTAACCAGCCACATAGTGCGCAAAAATTCCTTTAATCTCGCAACAATCACAAAATCAGCAAAGCGGTTGAAAGCAAACTAGAAGGCAATTTGCATACGATCACGGCTGACTCCTAAAAATGGCAATCACGCATCTATGCGTTCATTGCAACACAACTGGACCGGGTCAATATACTTTCAGATTTCAGGTTCCCATAATCCTATCACTGATCATTCTTACCACGAACGTAGAAGCTGAGGGGTCATAGACTTTGTTAAAGCTGTGATTACAGCGTAACTGAGCCACTGAATAAACTAAACGTTCTGGTCATAGTCACTCCTTCTGAGCCACGGAAGTTGATCTAAATCTTGAGAACGTAGAAGCTGAGGACTCGTAGCCTATATTTTAACCCCATTAAACTTGTAAGAAAAAAATAAATTTACTGTTGACTCTGATAACTAGAACTTTCAAGGCGCGTGTCAGAAGCCGAACCTAGTAACTAATCGCTGATACACGCCTTAAAGTTATCGTATAGTTTCAAAACAATTCCTTTCAACTAACACGTATACTTGTGGTTATTCTAGCGAGACAGTTCGAGTTATTGTGAGAAGAATCATAACAAAAATCACTAGATACTCACGTTTACTGAAGAGCAGTGCCCACCCGGACTTTCGCTTTAAAGGCTGACGATCGAAGGAGTAATTTTACTCTCTCTTGCCCAGAAGTCTCTCCGACTCTGTTGAGCGCAAAGCACAGTGGGATTGTGAAAGGCGAGAGAAGCCTCGTCCCGACCCCCTTCCCTTTCATCTCAGACTCTCTCGGTCATTGACATGCAGCGCACTGCTTCCAGAACTGCACGAGGCAAGGTTTTTTCGCCATCGTAGACAATGGTTACATTCCTTTTAGCCAAACTTTTTTCGGATTTGGACAATCCAGATTGTTTGGATTTTCGTGTTAGCCGGAACAAAAATCTGAAATAAGATTGATCCATACAGCAGCAGCCTGCGGCTCCGATCTTCTTCTCAATTTCAACGCATCGTTTTTTTCTTCTTTCAGTAAAAGCATCTTCTCGTAGGGAAACGGAGAGAAAATTAGCTCTTTGACTAGTGGTGGTTCATACTGGAATTGATTCAAGAAAATTCAGAAGACAATTACCAATTCTCAAGCGCTGAGAAGCGCGTTCGAAACACAAACAGACATTGGACAATATAGTTTTACAGGGAGAAAATCTAAGCGTTTTCACTTCCTAACGGATTTAGAGAGACAGTCCTTTAGCGGCATAGAACAACGGTGGAATATAAATAACTTTTGCCTGAACTAACCTTGACCCGCTGTGTTTACTGATGAACAAGCACGTTTCTGCGATCGAAAGGTGGCCCGTTCCTATTTATATGCGTGTTGGTTATGTTTTTGATTCACGTTTTTCAGAACGAAAGATTCAACCGATTTCTACGATTGTTTGTATCCTTAATAAATAATAATGGAGCTTTAAGAAAATGTTATTTTCCTAGGTTTTATGTTTGCAAGTTTGAAGGTAATCTTGACCGTAGAAATCGCTCCACAATATTATCGTGCGAGAGGGTTTTCATACAGTTGAAAATTGGATGGCGAGGTGTTCTAGAACTTGCGGACTTATTTCGCCTCAGAACGAGAACCTTTGAAGCTAAAAACTGCCAAGCGGTTTCTGCAGATGCTTTGTTTGTTTTCTTAATATTTTTGTCGAAAGTGAACGGACAAATGCAGAGTAGGTTGGATAAATAGAATATTTTTAATTTCAACGCCCATGTAGTAGAAAGTTGGTTGTATTAAAGCGCTAACTGTGTTTGCCGTAGTTGTCCGATTACTCATTTTCTTCCAACAATGCTTTGGGTAAGAACAACGTTTCAGTTAAGAGGTAGTTTGTCAGCTCTCGTCCGCTATTTGTGCGTTTACGTTCACAAATGTATTAGCCTATCATTTTAGCATTAAATTTGACCAACATTTTGTGGAGCGATTTCTACGGTCACGATTGCCTTCAAACCTGCAGACATAAAACTAGAGAGCTCTGAGGCTTATTTGCTGAAGTTAGGGGAAAATCTGTCGTGGGAATTCCAAGTTATTTAAAAATATGCCGATATCTCAAAAGTTTTTTATACCTATAAGAAAATAAATAACATTTTCTTAAAGTTCCATCCTTATTTATTAAGGATGCAAAAACTCGTAGAAATCGGTTGAATTTTTTATTCTGAAAAACGCGAATCAAAAACATAACCAACACGCTTATAAATAGGAACGGGCTTCCTTAAATGGAACAAAGATCTGAAACCAGATTGAGATACCAATCTGAACGATCCACGTTCAGAGGTAGATCGTTCGGATTGCAACCTTAGATTGGTTTGGTCCTTAATGGAACAAAAAAATCGAATTTTCGATCGCAAAATCCGGATTTAGATTGGCTAAAAGGAATGCAACCAATGCTAACAATTGCAATGCAATTGAAGCCTGTCATACTTCTTTGTTGACGCTTTTAGAAGTTTCTACAAAACTTAGGTAAAAATAAAAAATCTCATATAAAATGAAAGAATAATATATAGATTAAGCCAGGGATAAAAGCGAAGCACGCGTTAATATCTATAGTTTGAGGTTTACTCAAACAAAATATAAAATCATGTAATGCTGATAAGCAGCGAAGGGAACGAAAACAGCCAAAACAAATCAGTTGGTCTAATTAGCAAAAAAAAACAAACAACAACAACAACTTTGCACGTGCAGCACTCATTCTTGTACATTTCTTTGTAGTTGTCTTGCACGGCCACAACGTGAAACTCGGCCAGAAACTTCCCAGTTACACGTTTTATGGAGGAAATGTTGTATGTGTTCTTGTTCTTTTTTTTTTTTTTTCACAGCCACTCATTTTCAAAGAAACTTCCTGGTTACATGTTTTCACTGCCACTCATTTTCACTTTGGTGGCCGCTAGAATTTCTCATTTTTCTCCGCAGCTATAAAATTTTGATGTTATTCTTCCAACAAAATTGGTCTCCTTTGTTTTTTTTATCTCTCGCTCTAGCTCTTCCTCTGTTATCCACGTCAATGTAGACATTAAAATTAAGTAGAAAGAAAGAATCGGCTTTGTTGTTGTTACTTTATTATCTGTAAAAGTCCAGGTTGCTATGCGATTTACAGCCGAAACGCGCGGGTACTTGAAATACAAAATTTCACCCCGGATTACATGAAGGGGTGGACGTACGTACGGACGATTTTGCCAGAACCAAAATTTCTCGGATGCATAGATAACCCAATTTTTTTGCCCATGGTAACTCTGCTGCGCGCGCTTCGCGAGCGCGAGAGCTCCGCTTAAAATCAAAATGCAACTTATGAATACAAAAATGGCTGGGAGGTTAAACGTTAAAGCGTATTGTAAAGGTTAACTTTGATCGAAAGTTGTCACAATGAATCATAACACGTCTTATTGGGGTATATATCCAATCATCATATTTATCTTAAGGACAGCTGCATGTCGACCGAAGAACTTATAAAGCTTTGCAGTAGTCTTTGGACTTCTCGTTCTTGGTTCTTTATATTTTGACTGATTTGATCTCTTTTCTAGAGATCCAACGTTTACAACTAGCAGGATCTTCGTCCACGGTTTTGGCAGTTAATTTAATCCTTTATTACGAAGAACTTATGCACGCTTATGAATACAAAAATGGCTAGGAGGTTAAACGTTAAAGCGGTGTGGGTTATGAGTCGACATGTGGTCTAGTCGATGTTATTGGGCGCTCTTGGTTTTCAAGTTTTTGTGCTTGAAACACCTCGTTCATGACTCCTTTGGATCTTTACCGACTAGGTTCATTCACCATCAGTTATTTTCTGATATCGAAAGTGATCTTGAGGTGAAATATTCTTTTGAGTATGCTGAACATCGAAACTCGTGGCTGGTCGAGTCCGCCATCTTGAAGTGCTTTTGGCCGAAAGGGAAGTGCTTTTTCGTTCGCAAGCGCGAATTTCATTCAGCGAAATTCAAATGGCTACCTTCTGGCTATCTATATATGCAAGGCGATTTGTTTGAGTGCGGTGATATACATCCGCATCCAGGACCCTTGACTTGTAAATCAGCCGTCCGCCTTGACAGTTCTCGCAGAAAGTGCAAGGAGTGTGATCGGACAATTGCAAGCAATCACCGTGCAACCAGATGCGATTGCTGCTCGATGTGGTCTCACATTAAATGCGGCGGTGTGACCCCTAAGCAATATCTAATTCTGCAGTCGTCTGGTAATACATCGCACACTTGCGCTGCTTGTATGGAGGTTCTTCGCCAATTACCCTGACTCGAGTTTGAACTCCAGTACAAGTACCAGTTCTACTGGATCATGTTCTGACGATGAAACATGGAGTGAATATGACGCCTTGATTAAAAAGCATCGGACCAACATTAAAATCGGACATGTTAATGTGGACCATATTGCAGGTTTTAAATTCTTTGAGGTCAAGTATTGGCTATTAGAAGGAAAGTTTGACATTTTAGTACTTTCCGAAACGAAACTGGATTGCAGTTTTCCAGGTAGTCAATTTATGGTGGCCGGATATCGAATGTGTAGGGCTGACAGAAACATACATGGCGGTGGTTTATTGTGTTATATCCGCGCAGATCTCTGCTTTAAAGTAATTAATGACCTGCCCAATCTTCGATTATGTGAGCGTGAACGGTACAAGACTGAATCGATTGTGCTGAAGGTGAGGATAGCTAAGAAGTGGGCAACCATTGTCGGTATCTATAAACCTCCAACATCTGTGTCTGTCCCACAATCGCTATGGAAATTTGAACTATCCTCTATACTGGAGGCGATCACAACACTCCCTGGTAACTGCTTTTTGGTAGGTGACTTTAACTCGGATATGCTACTACCAGACAAGCCGCCAAGGGATGGTTGTGTCAATATACCGTATTTATTTGAGTTTGAGTGGGAGTGGAGGCGGTGGGGTAAGGGTGGGTGCTTATTAAGTTTT